GCGGGCGATGCGGGTTTCTGTCAACCGCTAGCCCAGCACAGACCGTGACCGTTCCAGCTCTTCGTCATGACGCGGTGTTGCAGAAAGCAGCGTATAACACCACTACACGGACCACCGAAGCGAACGCACTGTTATCGTAAATCTTGGCTTGTGATTGCGCCTAAATTTGTAAATAATCTTATTCTTTTTTCTGGAGACGCAAACGAAGGGCATAACAAAATCGTTCGCATATTCCGCATACCTCGCAAAAGCATCAGTCACCTTGCGAGAAGCGCAAAACACGGTGTCCGCACCGTCCTGACTTCCCAGTCTTTTACCTGCTTTAGAGCAGTTTGTACCTGTTAGTAGGTATGTCTACTGAAACTGCAACTTGAAACTTGGGGCAGTGCCAGAGGGAAAAGAGACAAATTCGGGCCTTTTCCCAATGTAAAGAAAAACCACTATGTTCTCTACGTAAAAAATTGGTCTCAGTTCATGCATCTGTGGGCAGGTAGAAAATCTTGCCCTAGTTTATTCACACCGCATGATGAGCGCAACAAACTCACACGAGTCACACGAGATTTACAGGAAAACATCGGTGGTGACTTAAGTTTCCCTGAAATTCTGTATAACCGGTCGTTTGCGGGACCGAATCATCTACTCGAGCGGTGTGCGTCGCTGTGCGAACACGTCGCTGTGCAAATGCAGTCTAACGACACGAAGCATAGAAACGGCAGATTTAGGGAAACTATCCGAAGTTCCTTGTTCAATTAAAACGACGTAATTTTGTTGAAAACGTCCGCAGCATTTTACTCACGGTATGCGTCGGGAATCTTCCACATTTTGAAACGGAACGAAGGAAGATTTACTTTTAAGAACGCTCGCTGCGTCCTCCCCGACCAGCTGGACCGGATCAGCTGACGACGACGGGGCTAAACCCGTCAAACGCAACCCCACAACAACCAATATGAGCTCCGCGTTAGTGCGGGTTTCTACCTACAAGCACCGCACCACACACCACGAACGTTTCGGCCCTTTCTCGCATCGCCGTGTTGCCCCAAACAGAACGAGATCGCCGAAGAACGCAGCGCTGTCGTGAACCTTGGCTTGTGGTTGCGCACTCGTGGACCCTGTGACTCCCCTCGCTTTCAAAGCACACACGACGAATGGTACTTTCCGTCTTCCGGGAACATCACAGGGGCACTTCTCCGGTCACGTCTTCACTATGTGCTCGCAAACTGCGAAGCTCTATGCGAAGCTTCTCGCGTCCCGTCAAACCAAAACAATAGCGGCTGCCAGAAATTTCTCCGGTCAAACAAAAAGAACGAAAGCCAACCGGCTCTTGCTTCCACCGTACATCGACGTTGCGCTTGCGCCATGGCCAGATCGGCCAGATCGCTTGCAGTTGAAGCAGTTGAAGGTTGAAGCAAAAACGAAACCAACTGCAATGTCACGTGTTCACATCGAAGACACGCTTTTTATATCCATTTTAACTGTTTTGAACGAATAATTGGACCCATGACTTTATTTGTGGTGTGTAAGAAACTATTATCAAGAGCCCTAAACTAAATGCAAACATGGGCGACATGAGGGAAGCCGCATTGCCATCGACCAGAAAATGGCGGCGAGCCACAGTAAGCGCGGGTTTCGCCAACGTCCCGCGACATGGCGTAATTGCTTTTGGTGCATATCTGTTTCCGAGACATGCTTCTTTCCGCGGCATTTGTCTCGACGGTCCTTTCTAAGTGTGTCCCCAAGCATTCCGGTGCTTCGATAGCCGGCAATGCCGCGGTCGTCGCCGGAGGCGATGCGTGTTATCGAGGTCGGCTACACGGTTATGCGTGTATGACCGAACCAAAACACGTTTTTTACAACCTCGCATGATATCTGAACGTATTATCCGTTACTCATCGTGTAAATTTATGGTAATTTGTGTAAATAGCGTGTTTTTCACCCCAAATATTCACCAAATACACGGCACTTGCTAACATTGTAGTTTGCGCCCGCAATCTTACTCTCAAAACTCTGACTGACTACATTCGATGATGCATCCCTTCACAGTATTACTCACTTATTCACTCTACACTGTGTGGTTGCACACGTCTATCGGCCGCCTCGGCGAAAATGTAGATTCGGACCCGCGGATATCCACATCCGATCCGCAATCTGCCACATCTGATTCCATTTTATCCGCCAGTTTACTGTGGATATCCGCTGATGATCCGCGAGTAATCCGCAAAATATCCAGGGCTCTACTTATACGTTTTCAAAATGTCACGGAACTCCTCCGATCGTCCGAAACCAGCGTTCAAATATTTTTGCAGCCCGTTTTCCAGGAAGAGTTTGGGGTGGATCCTGCGTTCAGCGTGTTGTGTGCGCAGCTGTGAGAGAACCGACGCCAATCTAGCAAAGCTCAAGAATTCAGCCTCCAAAGATACCGCCTAGAGGTCAGCCTACCCTGGGCACACTTTGGGCAAATTATTTTGGAAATATAATTTAATGACACGTATACCTCCCCCCCCCCCCCCCACACACACACACACTTCGGTTCTAAATAACTTAATTACAATTTAAATTACTACTTCGTAAAAGTAATGAATTAATTTATGCCTTACTTTCAGAACACGTACCATGCAATTTTCAGTTACCTCCCTCGGAAAGCTACGGACCCGACATCAACGATGCTGATGCGAGGCTGTTTTTTTTTTTCCACACTGAGATGCACTTGTCTATTCCATGACCGACTGTCGCACTATACACCTTTCCAAGAAAGGCTCCTAAGCCACCTCCATGTTGCTGATGATGATGATGGAGCTGGTGCGACTCTTGCGCCCCGTATCAGCTAGAAATTTTCTGCCACCCTCTTGAACCGTTGAAACCTGCTCAGCGCAGGTTTCAACGGTTCAATTATAAGTGGAAACTCTTAAAATTTTCCGCTTATAATTTTCTTGTGCATGCTTGCGTGCCCTGTGTGTGTTATGTTCCACTGTGAGGAATAGGGATGTCCTAATTTAGTGGCACTATAGTTCTTATGATCCACGCTGGCGGCGGCGTGACAAAACTAACCGGTGTGATCGGTCTATTATCTCTCGACCTCGATTAATTCACGTGAGCGATCGAAGTACCGGTGGTATACGAAGAACGAGGAAATGAACGCAACAAGCTGCGTTGCGCAAGCGTCTATTAATTCGCACGTAAGCTCAAGGTCGCTGTGTAGGTGGTACCCCTCGTGAGCGTATCTGAGACGCATTTTACTCTTGGCCACTTAGGGAACTTAAATGCGTTCGGAAACATTGCGTTCGCAGGGTCTACGTCGTGAACTCCAGTTATGTTGGAGCCTGTAATGGCCGGAATTTCGACGCTCGAGTCCTTGCCTAGGACCAGTGTTCTTGTGTTTAGGGTGATGCGCTGATTTTTGTGGCAGGTGTTTATCCATGACTGTCAATCTGTTGGTTTTACAGATATCTGGAGTGGTTTCCAGGCGGTGCATGTACCATGCATAGGCTTGTGTTCCTTCAGTAGAAAGTTTCGGGGGCGGGGTGGGGGGGGGGGGGGGGGGGGGTTGTATTTAAATCCCAGCTTTTGTAGTACCCGACGCCGACGACCCGCGCCCCGGAGTGAATGCACAGAAGTGTACGTGGAAACAAAACCAGTGTAGTCGATGCCTCGCACCGGGAGGCGTGTTTCAGGCGCTTCAGAGCGAAAAAATAAAAAAAAAACGAAAACAGAAGCGTAGCGTCTGACGTCACCACCCTAATTATGGCGCGCATAATGTCCCTATCCTTACCTCGTTACGAAGTGTCCACTTGCAGGCCACGACTTGTCAGCCCCTCCTGAAAGCGTCTCCGTGCAAGATCGTTGGAACCATTGAGCTCTGTCTACGATGAAAGCGATTTCCATTCCTTAATCCGAGCGCACAGTATCAACACTGGGCGTTTCGGCGAGTCCGTCCAACACATCCTACGTGGAGCGCAGGGGTTGCGGTGACGTCGTCAAAACGTCGAGCTCTGATTGGCCCTGATGGGAAGGATAGCGGGTATACATCAAGGCAGCTAGCATCGGAGGTATACCCACTATCCTTCCAGTCAGAGCACGGCGTTCTGACGTCACCCCTTTAGTCAATCAGCTTGTAGCATCAGGCGATAAGAACGTCGAAGGACCAATCACGAGGCAGGAAAACCATAAGCCACGTCCTGAATTTCTTTAGCTGAGTCAGTTACAATAGGTGTTGACATCTCGCACGAAATACACTTTTTCCGCAAGGGCGCCGCCATCATGAATGTCGTCGCTTCCAATATAGGCGAAAACATTGTTTTGCCATCGTCGCACCAGTACAATACATTCCGGATATAAGAGCAACCGTCACCCATTTTCGCTTTGCCTCACCTATATTTTTACTATTTGCAGGTTGAAATGTTTTCTTCTTTCCTCGTAGCCCATACCGAGTATGTCTACCAGGTGCCTGCCCGCGAGAGTAAAAGGTAGTGGCGAAATCCAAATTTGGGTACGGCAAGTGTTGCCTTTCCGTCCGCGGCCACCATTTTGCCTAACGCGGTATGTCGATGAGTGGATCGGCTAGTGCCTATGAAAATGCCGAGTGATAAAGTATACTCCTTGAGGTCAATATAAAATTATGCCAAGTATAGAGGCTTCCTGGAGTCGGAAATGCAACGAAACGTCGTAAATTCGGTCTTCTGTACAATGTTTTAGCATTATTATTAGATGTGCAGCGCCGAAAACAAACGCATTGTTGACAGACCACATGAACGTACATGTTCTTAAAGCTACTCAACGTCATTTCAGAATTGGTATAATGCTCGATAACTCTGCAGACAGCTCATAAATGGCTACGTACGAGCGGGAGACGAGATGGCGGTTCGAAGCACACGACAGAGTTGGCCCCCACTCTGCGATGGCCACCTGCCCAGCAACATTGAGGCACCTTTTTTCTTTCTTTCCAGACAGCCCGTATTATTCTTAGTGCGCGAGATAAAAAGCAAAAAAGTACCAGAGATGTTAGGCCGTTTTGCCGAAACCATTTTATTTTTCTACTTGTGACACGTGTTGCCTCCATTCCCTCGGCTCGACGCCCGGCAGAGCTCCACCACCATGGCACTACCGTAGACCGACCGAGATGACAGGGAAGTCCTGAGGGTTACCACAATAAATTGATAAAAAATACTCGTTACTATAGACACATTATACTACAGTCAAATTATGCGACCACGTCGCTGAAGGGGTAACCTAACATCTCCTTCTTTTCTTCTCTTTTCCCTTCGTGCAACACGCAGTCGAGTACCCCAGGCGAGTACCATGGTATACCATCTCATCTACCACATGAAACAGTAAAAAGACAAAAAGAAGCTAACAACACGCACACACATAGCGATCTCAACAAGTTCTGTCATGCCTCTGCAATCCTATACCCGCATAGTTTATTGCGTAGCAGCGCGGACATTCCGAATCACGGTGGTCAACACTGTCCCCAGTAGCCGGTTAGTAACCGGTCGTAGGAGCACGGATGCATCTCCAAGGCAGAGCGCGACGTCATCGGCCAAGATTCTTGTTCACCTTGACTCGCATGCCGCGCGCCCCTGGAGGAGGAGGAGGCGAGGATTCCTGGATGTCCGCCCACAGTCAGGGATGAACTTGACCGCCATCACTGAATTTTTTCCCCACCCGACAGGTATTTATTGGTGTTTAAAAACGGAGGAGGTCTTCCTCGTCTTTGAGTCGGAATGTCTGTCGTCCTTGGCGGTGTTAGTCAGGCATTCGAGACACCGCTCGCGGCGGATGAGGAGGTGAGAGGAGGAATGAATTAGTCGGTCCATCACGTAGAAAACAGCCTCTTTTGAGTAGCGAGGTCTCCCGAGGACACGGCGCATTCCTTGAGCGGCCACACACACCTTTTCAAAGCGAGAGTCCCGTGCAGTGCTGCGGAGGCTATAGACGGTCTGAAAGTACGGCATCTGATGCGGCCATCTTGTTGCTGATGTGTGTAGATTGTCCGATAGTCAAGCCTTGCTAAGGCGTGCCCACAGTTACCAGACTGGCGCCTAAACAAAGCATTTTACATCCGCGGTAGCCAGACTAGTTTTTGGAGCGTGGCTTCTTGAAGACGTCAGACGTTTGAAAGCACTGCCTTTGGGCGCCGCCATCTTGGGCTGCAATCTTTGTCTGCTGGGCTGTGGAACGCTGAGAATGCGCAGTAGCCCACTTCTATGAGACATCAGACGCCGCGCATGCATCGACTGCCCAGTGATTCGGTATTTTTTTTTCTTTTTGCCTGAGTGACAAGCGGTGGAAGGGTGTATATGGCTACAGCCTTTGCATCGGGCGGTAGCTTGCGCCATCTAGCCTTGCTAAGGCGGGCCCAGGGTTGCCAAGCTGGCACCCAAACAAAGTTTTTTTTTTTTTTTTAATCTACGGTGGCCTAACAAGATTATGAAGCCTGGCTGCTTGCAAACGTCTATATGCGGGATCCCGTTTTTTACAAGTCGGTGGATGGCTTGGGCAAGCGTGTAGCGCGGTTCGATCAAAATGATGGCGACTTCTCGCTGATGACACTGCTGCACGTCCTCCGGACTTTACTTGGCAACGTAGAACGTGTGGTTCACGGCGAAACAATAAGATGTAAACGGCAGCTTGAATGAGGTCACGTGCAAGGTATATGTATACGCGATGCTCAATTGTGCGAGAAAAACAAAAGTATTACTTCTCGTTGGCGATCGTAATTAAAACTAGACACGAGGGACATACACACACACAAACACAAAACACAGACACGCGCGCGCAAAATTACAATAAGAAATAAAAACAGACGCAGCATTGTCCCTGGATACTGAACTAAACATCGGCCCGTCTTTGTTGCTTTTTTTCGAGAAACAAATAAATATCTAAGAAAAAAATGGGTCAATCCGGTTAATAGCTTAGTCGCTGCGGCGTCCACCAACCACGCATGTGCGCAGTGACTCATCATAAAAAAGGGAATGTCGGCGTCCTGTGAGTAGTACCTTCAGTTGGATGGAGAAGCCCACCCCTATAAAAACCACATTTCCGCCATCGCATCCGTCGGAATTCTGAAACTATTAACAGTTTCATCGGGCTGTCCTCCGGTAGGGTGTATTAGTACATTCCACCTCCGGTGCAACGTCCGTTCCCCCTATAGTCTGAGACAAGTTAAGAATGTGCCAAATGAACACCACCATGTACCAACCACGACATCGACTCGCACCGCAGACCAGCCAGGAAAGGCACTAGCCACGACGAATTATGGGGCTTGTGGGCTTGTGGAAGGGAAACACGTTGGCGCGGCCCAGGGCTCGCGTCGGGGGACCGCGCTCGATTGCGGGGCCTGTTCGGATAAAGGTCCGTTTTCCTCAGTGTCCTTGTCGTCTTGTCGTTTTCGAGCGAGCCGCGTGCTCCGATTTCCACAGATGCAACGGTCGCTTCGGTAGCGGACTTGTTTGCGCTTTGCGGAGGAACACTGACTGGAGGTAATGATTCAAGCAGCACTGAATTTGGCCATGCATTGGCCAATGGCTAAAGAATGGCCATTCATCGGCCAATGTTTGGCCGATGGCTGATGGCCATAGGCCAATATCCAGAGAAAGGCCAGTCATCAACCAATGGCTGGCCATGTCTGGCAACTGGCCGAAGGACCGTTGGCCAATGATTGGCCAAATCTGCGCTGCTTGGGTCGAGGCTGTGGAATATGAGCTTTTGGCGCATCCTTAACTCGTATTTTACTGTAGCTTCGGGCGGGGTGCGCCACAGTCTGTCGCAACATAGGGTCGGCGGTGGATGCTCCGGCTCCAGCAATGGCTCGTTGCCCTCCGGCGGGATTGGCTGCGCCTGTGCCGAAATGTTGGCCGGGTTGGTGATCCACTAAGAGTGACGTCACGTGCGGGCCTCATCTTCCCAGTGGTATTGGCCGGGTGGCAAAGCACCCACCGCTGACCTTACGTTGCGAGTGACCACAGTACAGACCCTACCTCCGGTGCAACGTCCGCTCCCTGCAGCTCCCACAGCGCTGCACGGAACCTCTGAGAAGGAGCGTGGAACAGCCACCCGCCAGGGTTTGCCGCCGCCGGTTAGTCGGGGGCCGCGGGTTAGCGTTATGTACAAAACGAGGATCTCCGCCGCGGGGTCAGTATCCGTACGGCCCGTACTGCGAGCCGTGGTGGTACGCGTAGGGTCCCGGGTAGGCCGCGTATCCGTAGGGCGGCTGCCGCTTGTCCGGGTACACGGGCATCAGGTACTGCATGTTCTTGGCCTGGTCGGCCTTCTTCTCGCGGCGGAGGCAGCGGGCGGATGCGAGGAACAGGATGCCCGTCAGGAGGCTGGCGCCCACGCCCGCCCACGCGAGCATGTACGACCAGCCGTACGAGAACTCGGTGACGCCCTTGCGCCGGAGGACCTGCGTGAGCGACACGCGGGCGACGCCGCTCCTCACAACATGCACTTTGCGGGGAAAAAGAGGCGACTGAAGCCCACCTAGAACACAAGGCCTGCGGCATTACGTGTTCAATGGTGAATCTCCGACCTGCCGCAAGCGGCAAACGCACCGAAGCTCGACAAGAACCGCCGCAAAGTGGCGACGCCACAACGGACGCGCTTGACGCTTTGCGGCGACTCCCGTCAAACCACAGCGTGTTTGACGCTTGACCTTAACAATGACGTAACGCCCAAGCCTTGTCTTCTGAGCGGTATTTCCCACTAGCAATGACGTAATGCCCAGGCCTTGTCTTCTAGGCGGTATTGCCCGAGCTGGCTGTCGGCCAGCGGACACCCGTATATATACACCGGGACTGCCGTTAAAATATGTACTGCTTTAAAAGTTATAACGTTTTGTGTGTTTCGGGGTTATTCTTCTTCGAATTTGAAGTACCTGTTTTTTGGAGGGGTTGTTTTCCACACATATTCGTTGTTTTTTGGTGTTTGCTGTCAGACAAAGAAATCGGGGTTTAACGGGGAGATAATTTCGAATTAAATAGGACAGGGGCATGGGATTCCTTGCAACCTCCAGGCAATACGTGCGGGACCTGAATACCTGGAATACGTCCACGTACACCGAGATGAAGAAATGAGATAAGGTGTGTGCTTTCAAAGCAATAAAACTTCGTTGGATTTTCTTTTTCCAAGAAAAGCTCTAAATTGGTGTTTTACTGTTTTCACCGATTTTGTTTACACCTTCTCAGGGGGGTTAATTTTCGGGGTTTATCGGTATTTACCAAAAAAACGGAACCCTAATTACATAAGCTTAGAGGTAAAGGTCGCAGAAAAGGTTTTAGCTGGGAGAGACATCATTTTCAAGAATGGTGTACTTCAGGATATTGCCCAGGGCATTTATAGGACGCACGTACCGATTCTACAAATACCATCTGTAGTACTGTACGGTTTCCATCATGGGGCAACATCGAAAACACGATCGCTTGATGACTTCCATCAAAGCAAACTACGTTTATTATTCGGTGACAGCAAACCAGCTCGAAAAGAGAAGAGGGTATACCTGACGCCATACTCGTGAACAACTTTCTGCGGCGTTTCTGAAGTGAAGAGTGTGCACAGATATAACGGGCGCTCAAGATGCACACGCGCACATCCCCCCATAGCTTTGTCTCTACAGCCACAGAAAGTTAACCGCGAGTACACTGGTAAAAAATCATAGCAATGAATGAATGAAAAAGACAACTTGAGTAGTCAGAACACACTGATTACCTAGTATTCAGAATTAAAAAAAGCAACAGATGATCTAATCACTCAGATTTTGAACGTCCCTCTTTGCGTAAGCGACAAAAACATATAAAAAATCGGAAGCAAAACAGCAACAATCCAGGAAAGGGCCGTAGAGAGAATATAGGCAAACATTTAGAGACTCGTTAAGCGGGACTTCTTTTGTCTAAAAAAAGACGGATGACGACGCTTTCGTTCTCAAGATTACCAGAGAAAGCCCATCGCAGTACTTGGTCTCGCGGGCGTCTCAAAGAAGGGAACAGTGGGGCATTCCATGCGTGCACAAAATAGGCCGTTTTCTTTATTTTTTTTTAAACTTTAGTGCCGTCTAGGGGTTTATATAGCAAACTAACTATTGCCGTACTAATGGCAGTCTTGTTCATTATTTTATTCGGGCATCGTCACTTTTACACGACAACAGAGGACGCAATAACGGCTTCTTCCCCTCATATTGCTTTCTTATTTTGTTTTAGCTTCGATTGCGTCAACGGAAGAACAAGGCGAGTACGAAAGCCCTCGATATCAAACTCCCGTCATCAAGGTGCTTTAGAGAAGACTTTGGGCCAAAAGAGTAATTGCAGCCGAATCCGAAATATACGCCGTCGCAGCACTTATGTCTGACTCGTGCGTCCCGTTGTGCATCTGCAGGTTCCTTCGCGAGCCACAAGGCACTACATCTGTGACGTCATCACCGTGAGATGGGCTGATGACGCTGATTGGGCACGTGTGCTGCGTCAGCGTTCGGCTTAGCCCCGTGTCCAATCAACGCGTCGGAGGACGCTCGGCATCCGGATCCGGTCCAATGGCCGAGTTGACGCCATCCGACACGCGAATTTTACGTTTCATGGAGGAAGACGAGGATGTTCGCAGACCTCGATTATTCTAGGTGCATGGTGTTGCGTTGGATAGGGCGCAGATGCCGTTCAACACTCGGACGATGATAGTAATTAAAGTGACCAAAGTGAATTTGCTTACGGGTCTATTGTGTCATATCGAAGGAACTTACCGCCGGCCAATTGTAGACGGACATGTGATCATGAAGCTTCTTGAAGTCGTAGTATTCGACGCCGTGCCAGAGGCCCATGGCTCCGGCCACAGTGAGCGCTGCGAAGAGGAGGCGGGCATATCGTTTTCGAGAGACGCACTAAAGAGATGGAGCAAAGCCGAGACAAACTGCACGCTTACACAAGGCGACGTCTGTTTTCGTTGAGATATGAATCTTCATAGAGAAATGCTATCGTGGCGACAGCATAACAAGCGAGCGGTGGTCGTTCCGTACTCCAGCGCCACGTGCTCTCCGAAAGAAATGAAACTTTGTTATTTCTTTCAGAGATTAATCGGCGCGACACCCCTAGTTCTCGGTTAGAACTAGGGGTGTCGCGAACTTTTGTCGAACTGGATATTTAGGTCGAACTTTCGGGGTCCGAATGGTTCGAACCGGTTTGACGAACCTTGGATCTTTTTAACCAGATTCGACCGGTTCGACTTTGTGGACAGTGTGTCCAGACCTTTATACAAGATTTGGAAACTTTTTTCATGCAAATGGATATTTTAATTTTATGAACAGTTGCCGCAATTAAAAGAAACTAATTCTAATCACTGAAGAAGTTAATAACTTAATGCTGTCTGCTTATTAACTGAAATAACCAATCAGTGCTGCCCTTAATTCATCCCTTAGCCATCGCCATCCAATCCGAAGCCAACTGGCCAGCCTGTCGCGCATGTGCATAGCAGTCGAACCTGAGTGGAACCGTTGTCGAACTTTTCACAAAAGTTCGGAAAAGTCGAACCTGGCCAAACTCGAACCTCGACCGGTTCGCGACATCCCTAGTTCTAGTAACGTTGGCTTACGCCGGAGAGGCGCGTCCCGGCATGCTTCTCAATAGTCGATGGTCATTCGGCTGCTGGGAGTTGCGGAGTTCAAACAGAAACCGAAACTAGAGACTACAGTACGAGGCATTCCTCTGACCCCCTGATGTGAGCAGGCGGCGGGCGGCTGGAAGGCGGTCCTACCTGCGAGTATCTGGAGCAGTCCAGTGGCGATGATGTTGCTGTTCGAGCGCTTCCAGCATCCGGCGATGCCCGTGAAGAAGGACAGGAAGGCGAAGAAGAAGGAGATGATGAACAGGGCCACCACGGACCGGGCCATGTCTGCGAGGGGAAAGGGAGACGGCAATCTCAGACCGCTCACGTGAATCCGAAAGCCCCGGTCCCACTGCATCCTCGTTACGCCATACGAGGGACAGTCTGCTGACACTGAGCGAGACGCGTTTCTTTCTTCTACGGAGGTCCGGTCACGCTGATGATGCAACAACTCTCTGCAGACATGTTCAAACTTTCAAAGCATACATATCTGTTCTGTCACACATCTGTCATCCGCAGGAGGGGCGGATTCGTAAGTCAGGCTTCGAGACGGGTGGAGGGTCTGCAGAGAGATCTGACGACACTGGCCAAGCGTTACCTACATCTTTTTTGTTTCCATAATGTTTGCAAGTTCACCAAAAAAACACATTTCTTTGTAAAAAGTTGCCGTACGTATTTTTCTTTTCGCCAAAAGGTTGGCTTCTGAGGGTCATAACTTAAGGCATCTGGTCGCGCCCCCCCCCCCCCCCCCCCCCGCCTCCTTTCCCGTACGTCCCTCCATTAAATCCCCTGTCTAAAGCGAATACCGTGTCTCCTGTATACGAGCAGTGTGACTGGACCCTAAATGAGAGCTCCTGCGAAATTCGGAGTCGTTCATTTGAATAAAAATTGATTGACCACATTAACAGGCGCAGGTCTCAACTACCAAAGGTCGCACTCCGGACATTCTCCGAAGGCACTGAAGCGCAGAAAAATCGGGTGCCAATTACGCCGCCGCATATCAATGTCCTTCGCCACCACTCCCACTGCCGTCGGCGATGCCTTCTAGTAGGAAGGTTTAATAGATTGTTCGTTCCGAGGACTCCGATAACAATACCCGATAGTCCGCCGACGCACTAAAACTTTCTATAGTCCGTTCCACCTTCAGTCTGAGCGCAGTGGACGCCACAGGCCATCCCAGCCGATCCATCGCCGGGAGAAAATCGCGTGACCTGCCGGTTGGGCAGAGGGACACAGGGAGCTCAAGGTCACATGACACTCTCTCCACGCTGGATTGGCTGGGATTACTCCTAGCGTCCGCTGCGCTCGGACTGAAGGTGAAACGGAGTATAGTATTTGTGCAGCGAAACGGCTATTTCCGTGATGGCATCGGACTCTACAAGTAGTAAACCACGTCCGTCCCGAAAAAAAAAAAAAAGTGATACAAAAGGCGAAGGCTTAGCACACAACTAGCGTGGCAAATGTGGACTATATTGAGAGGCACGGTGTAAATAAATTATCAGGACCAAAACCCTTTCAAATTAAAACGCGTTCCGCAGTATAGTCAACACATTACAGTGTTGACTATACTGTAATCTGACCAAATCCCCCCTTGTTTGAATGTCCAGAAATGGACCTTCAAGGTATTATGAACCAATTAACAAATAAAAGTTGAATCTATACTCGAGGGTCCACATCAGGACCTTGAGGTCAGACCGCTACCAATTCGATAGACGTCAGTTCTCAATTTGTGGTTGTTCGTTTTGTTTCTGTTTGATATACCTTTAACCATAATCCATAATCTGTAATGACCTAGTGGCCCTGGGGGTATTTCATATAAATAAAGCAATAAAATAAATACACCAACGAGCGGGTCTGACGGGATATCGTTTCTGCGCATGCCCACTACGCTTTTTCGTGCACCCGATGGGGCCATATGCGAGCTTGTCTGTAAACAGCGTGACCAGAAGGCACGCAAGGTATACATTGCATAATGGACTTTGTTTGTTCCGCGAGGTAGGATAGAGGTCAGTCTCCCAGACGCACGGGAAATAGGCCCTCCCTCCCAGAAATCTGGCCGTAGCGTGGAAAGGGCCGCCCCAAAACAATGGCACCTGGTAAAAAAATATAAAAAAAAAAGTGAAAGCCGTTTACCACTCCCTGTAACGCCGAATTGGAGCGCAGCTCTTGAGGAGGAGGAGGGGAGGGTACTGAGGGCTAGGTGCTCTCGGGGGGGGGGGGGGGGGGGGGGTCACGTGACCTCCCCGAGGGCACGTGACCTTGGTGGGGTCACGTGGGGGCAAACACGTGCCCCCCTCAGAGGTCACGTGACCTCGGGGTGTCACGTGACTCCCCGGGTCACGTGACCAAAATTTTTCCGCTAGATTTAGCGGGGAAATGTTTTCCGCTAGATTTAGCGGGGAAATTTTTCCGCTAAATTTAGCGGGGAAATTTTTTCCGCTAGATTTAGCGGGGAAATTTTTTCCGCTAAATTTAGCGGGGAAATCTTTTCCGCTAAATTTAGCGGGGAAAATTTATCCGCTAGATTTAGCGGGCAAATTTTTCCGCTAGATTTAGCGGGGAAATTTTTTCCGCTAGATTTAGCGGGGAAATTTTTTCCGCTAGATTTAGCGGGGAAATTTTTTCCGCTAGATTTAGCGGGGAAATTTTTCCGCTAGATTTAGCGGGGAAATTTTTTCCGCTAGATTTAGCGGGGAAATTTTTCCGCTAGGTTTAGCGGGGAAATTTACCCATAATGCACCGCGCGGTTACGCCGACGGCGACGGCGACGGCGACGCCGACGCCGACGGCGACGCCGCTCAAGCCGGAAACAGGCGCCTAAGAGCTGCGCTCTAAAAAAATTAGCCGAGAAACGAACGAAGAAATTGGTGCTTTGTTTCCACGGTTCAAAGCGCCCTCTTCCAAGCGCTTCACTGCCGAAGACTTCGACGGTTCTGGCGTCATCCCATATAACCCAATGGCAATCCCATATACAAACTGCCGAGAGGTGTCAAAGCTTCCTGAAAAATCACGTAAATGTAACATAAGCACTTCAGACCCGAGCAAAAAAGGATATGTATATATATATATATGTGTGTGCGTGTTTGTGTGTGTCTGCGTGCGTGCGTGCGTGCGTCCGTGTTTAGACTCGTCAACCCCAATTTGCGACTGGTGTCTCCGCCGAACATGAGAAATTTAGCCAGTGCAGCACAACCGGTAGCCCACGGAACAGCGATACACCATACAGCGCTCTCAGTACGACGCCAATCCACATCCAAACGGGAAGAGGTGGGGATCAAACCCAGGCTCGCGGGGTTCTGCAGCACGAGCATTATTCGCTACGCGTGTTCCCGAGCCGCGGCGCGCTCACACACTCAACCACCGGGATCCAACACCGCCTAGAATAAGTTCGAGGCCCGCAAACGTCCACCCTCTCCCCACCACGGAACGTCACCGCGGTCGGATAGCGCGCAGCTCGGTCTTCGAACCCTAGCCCAATGCCGAGCGTCGTCCGACGCGCTGATTGGACGCGAGGCCCGGCCGAACGCCGACGGCAGCACCCGTGTCCAATCAGCATCTTCTTCGCTCGATCTCACTGCCGTGACGTCACAATTCTGCCGGGCAGGCCTCGAAGATTCCGTAGTCAGTTAAGAAAAGGCAGAGGGAGCCCGAGTGTCTTGGTAGTCGATCGGCAGCCAATCACGTTGCGGCATCATCGGATAAGAATGCCGACGATCCATTCACGAAACAGCAAGCGTGAACATACGAGGCGACGCCCTTTAAGCTGTCAAATCAATGACGTCATGCTATTGCGGTGGCGCTGCTGTCAGCACCGCCCGTGCGCAGACGTTTCCACTCACGCGAATCTGGTTTCTGCGCACGCGCAGTGAGCTTGTTTGTGCGCAACGTTCTGGTGTATGCGGAGAGCAAGTCGTCTGCTTCTTATGCAGGACTTGCGGTGACGTCAGCACAACGCCAAACTCTTATTGGCAGATGAAAAAAAAAAGAAAGAAATAGTGGGTAGGGTGGACCTAAAAGCATCTATCATTAAGGTCTACCCACAATTTTTTTTTCTTCATTCAGTCAACCAATAAGAGCTCGGCGTCGATCTGTCGTCATCGCCACAACTCCTGAGCAAGAAGCAGACGACTTACTCGCCGGATAGATAGTGTCCATGTGTAACTCGCTGCCCTCGAAAGACGCGTGCACCAATCCAGCCCCGCGTCGCGTACACCAAAAACGACCGATCCCATCCCGATGCCCCCACCCACCGAGTTTCCCGTGTATGGCCCTACTTTCGGAGGGGTGTAGCCGCTCTTCTCTAGTCTTCCCCGCCCCACAAAAACAAGACCCAAAGAAGAAAAGCGAGACTGCCTTAGCGAGCTAGTCAGCCTCGGTCCGGGGGAACGGACGCTGCAGCAGCAGAGTGCATTGCTCGTCGTGCGTGAAATCTATTTACGGGTCTTCCTCGTCCCCTGGAAACAGAACCGCCTCGGCGCGTTCCGGGCCAGCGCTGATGGCCGGGGCACGCTCTGGCAGCTTCCACGGAGCGCCGGCCCCGTCTCCAGAACGGTCGCCCCCTTCTCGGCTTGACCCTTCGGGGGGGCATCGGCGGGTATGCGTTCCTGGACGCGGAACAGAGCCCCGGACTCACGACGTGCGGTGTGTGTCGTGAGCCTGACCTGTAGTTTGCTTCGAGGGGGGCTTCGGTCGTTCCGTGGGTAACCCTGTGTCAACGGCCATCGGGTAATCTCTCCGCGTGACTCGGTGTCTCTCTCTGTGGCTCGTCCTCCGAGGCGCTACATGCAACCGCGGACGTGTTGTCGCCATTTGTCCACCCCGTGAAGACATCGGACGGCTGCGATACAGTTTACGATTTGTCCCGAGTTTTAGTGTGTCCTCGTCTGTGGGATTTCTTCTTTGTTTTTTAAACAATGAATCTGTGTTTTATAGCCGAGTTCCACGAGAAAGCCGTCACGAAGAACCATTACGCGAAATCTACGTCATATGACTACGTCACGTGACCTCCAGTCACGTCATGTTAGCTCATCACCTGATGTCAATTTGTCTGTTAAGTGTAGCGAGCAAAGTGACGTCACGTGACCACGTCATGTTTTCTCATGTCACGTGACATCCACCTCGCGAGGTGGTAATTTGCGCTGAACACATTCCGTGGCCCTCGTCTTGGTCAGTATAATCAATCTTTTGTAATTTTTTTCGACCTTAAAAGAAATTGAGAGGGTATAAAAGAAAATAAAAGAAAAAGTGATAAGCGATTGGGTGTGAAAGATTGGCTGATGTGTCTTGTT